ATTTCAGCTCTTAAAACTTTATTTTTCGGTTAATAGAATTTTGCTTATCGTAAAGTCAGAGTACCTGATGGCAGAAGGTCTATAGTGGTGAAATCTGCTCAGTGTTCAGGCACTTCTTCTAAAAGCCTAGGGAGTAAAAGAAAGACTGCAGGCTTGCAGACGTCACTCATGTCTGACGTCCTCTCTCTGGACTCTGCCCACATAGTCTGGGGGCCTGTTGTCTGAGGGCGATCTTCCTCCTTGTGGTGAAGGTGAGGTGCGGGGATGAGGCTAGGTGATTTTATGAAGTTTATTTAATTTTTGCTACTAGGTTCTATGAATTATTTGGAATCTAGAACACATCACGTACCATTTTGTTTTCACATGGAGCTGTCTTATCACAGAGTCATTAGTATTGAAAAGGATCTGATTAACCACCACCTCCACCCATCGCAGGGCATTTTCCAGAATAAAAGCTGGGGCTGGGAGTGGTGGGGTGAGCATTGGCTAAGGGCAGAGTGGGGTTGGATTTACACACACGCCCCTGCCCCCAGGCTTCCGCTGCGTCCTTCCTCCTCTCCCACAGCGCCTGCCTTTTCATTTGTTTGGCCTTTTTCCTAATCACAGCGTGGTGGACACCTTTCCGTTTGTGTGAGCTGCCCTCCCCACACCAGGACTCGAGGTGGACGACCGCCCCTCCCTGGTGTTTGAGGGACAGCATTGCCCAGGATGGGGGGTGTCACAGGCCTCGGGGGGTCGCACAGGTGAGGCAGTGTGTGCAGGTGAGACCTGCAGGGCCTTCTCCCCAGGCTTCCGGTGCCAAACCTGCTTTCTTGATGCTCTGGCCACATGGGCCTCCAGCAGACGGCAGAGCAGCGTCCTGGGGGAGGTGTGTTCAGGCGGGCAGGGCAGTCCCCGTGCGTGCAGAGGCCCCGGGGCCCCCAGTCCGGCGCCTTTTCTCCTCGGAGCTTTGAGGGCTTGCCTGGCAGCACAAGTTTGACATTTTTTCTCCAATTCCTTACGTTGACTGAATGGCTGAGTTGCTTGGTCTGAAAAATCAGTTGTGCTTATTAGAAAGGGACGCAAAGGGCCTGTCTCCTGCTGCGCTGCGGCGAGTGACGCGGCCCAGGCAAGGCACCGCTAGTGAGAATTCTGCTTGACCGCCGTCCGCAGAGAAAGGGCCGGTGAGTGCCGTGTTCCGTCTGCTTCCTCAGGCGGCCAGTGCACAGGTGTGTGTTTTGATCCTCCTGAAAGAGGCACCCAGAATATGTCAAGGGAGGTGGCTGGGTTTTGTTTTTGTTTGCTTTTCGTTTTTCACACGACGGAGATTTTAGCCAGCTTCCTTGACGGTGGACCACGCGGACCATGCTTGTCCCCGGAGCCGTGTGCTGGTTTTTCAGGGGAGGTGGCCTGGCGGCCACATCCGGGCTGGGCTTGCGTCCTGGCTCTGTCACTTCTGAGCTGTACATTCTGTGGCAAACTGTTTCTTTCTTTTTTTTTAAATAGACTTTATTTTTTAGAACAGTTTTAAGTTCACAGCGAAATTGAGTGGGTGTTTCAGAAATTTCCCCTCTGCCCCTCCACCCCCGACACGCACAGCCTCCTGGTTCCCAGCACAGCCCGGGGGTACCTCCACTACAAACCTGCATCGGCACATCGTCGTCAAAGCCTTGGCAGACTTTTGAGCCAAATTTTTCCAGCTTCAAGGTAGAAAGTATGTCACAAAGTAGTTTTGCATTTTTTATTAAATAAGAGTATGTGCACAGGAGGCGCCTGAGGTGCGGAGCACCGAGCGTCGGTGGTGGGGATTGGATCCAGCCGCCAGAAATATCTTCAGGAGTGAAGACTGCAGAACATTTCATTCACATGGAAGAAAGAAGGGAGAACAAACCAGGGTCCTGTGCAGGTCCCAGGGTCTCGACCCCGCCGATTCCTTCTGGGTCTCTGGAACAGTCTGAGCAGCAGAGGAGTGAGCAGGGGCTGGCACCTGACATCTCGAGCTGCGGGGCTTGCGGGCCGAGAGCGGCCATGCTGTGTTTCTAGTGTAGTTTGACGTTCTCCCCTTTTTAATGTTTATCTATAAGCACACGAAGCAAAACAAAGTAACTTCTGTTAGGATGTAATTTCGTAAGGCAGGGTCAGCGCACATTTTCCCTCTTGTTCTTCGGGGAGGAGGAGGCTGGGCCGTGGCTGGTGAGCGCCCGACCTCACGTTTCTGCAGGAAGCGTTCGACTGTGCTGCTCGTTCCAGAATCGATCAGTAGACCATCCACTGACTTTGAAACCAAGATTCACTAAGTCACAGCACTGGGGCTGCATGTCCCTCTTCGGTTAAATTCCTTCCTTTCTAGACTTTCTTAAACTTAAAACTGAGTGACTACTAGATGGGTGGTTGTGCCCCGCTGCTGCGTGTAACAGCAGACAGGCTGTCTTTGGAACAGCAGCAGGAGGCCATCTCGTGGGCTCGTTGCTCTTCGGTGAACTTGTCTTCCTCGGTGGGACCTCTGGGATGAGGGTGTCTTGTGGTTGAGTCTCAGCCTCAGACGTGCCGATGTCTTCCTTCAGATCAGGGAAAGGCAAGTGGAGGTGAGGCTGCTGCTCAGAGGGTGTGCAGACCCCTCACGAGCCACAGTTGAGGATCCTTTGAGCCAAGATGACTGTTTTTTCCGTTTGTCTGACGTGTCTCTTGTTCTTAAGAGAAGATGAAACAACGTTCAATTAAAAGTGTGCTGTTTTCTATTTTTACTATAAAATAAATGCAGATACAGAAAAACCGCATGAATCAAACGTACAGATTAATGAATGATAAGGTGGACACTGTCCAGTCTGTGGCGGAACTGTGCCAGCCGCCTGAGACCCCTGCCCTGGGCACCCCCCCAGGGACCGCAGCCCCAGCTCTTGCAGGGAGAACCCCTTATGTGTTCTTGCGCCTTCGCACCCGAATGTGCCCTTGGACACCGTAGGTTAGTCTCACTCGTGTTTTTTAAAGAAGTGTGTGCTTAGACATAACTTTCTTACAATAAGTAGAAGAGAAAGAACCTGAAGAAATTTTGTCCATCTAAAATTACTGTGAAAAATATACATGACAGTCACACAGTGGAGTAAACAGCAGAAGCGGCTTCAGAAGGTCTCGGTTGTGTGTGTGTCTTGAGACGCGTAGCTTCGCTTGAAAGGGGGGGTCTCGGCAGTGCCCAGAGGGGCCACCCGTGACCTGTTTGAGAAGGTCGGGGAGGTGCTGTGAGCTGGCCAGAGCTCCTTCCTCCTGTCTTCACGCTGAGTCGCCCTGAGGGTGGGGGTCGCCTTTGTTCACACCCCTCACTTTCACGTGAACTGGTCACGTTTATGAAATTAAAATGAAAAGGCTCGTGTCTGTGGTCCTCAGAGCCTCACGTGTCTCCTGGCAGCAAGCAGCGTGAAGACAGGGCCCCTGAATCGTGGTCTGTCCATGACCTTGGTCTCCATGGTCTGCGTGGTGCCGTGTGCAGTGGGGTAGCCCAGGCTCCTGGATGCCTGGGACGGTGACGCAGTAAATGCTTAGCAGACACTTAGAGTGAGAATTTGACCCCTGCTCCCGGGGGCGTGCAGCCCAGAGAGAGGGTTCTGAGGGTGGTCAGTGACTGCCAGCGTGTGCCCAGCGTGTGCCCCCTGTGTGCCAGCGTGCGCGAGGCGACCCGAGTGCCAGCCGGCGCGGGGCCAGCTGTTGGGTGGCAGGAGCTGGGAGGGAGCAGACTTGGCCACGTGATGCCGTCCTCATCCTCATGCTGCTCACGGTTCCCCTTTCCCAGGGGCTTCCGCTTCCTTGTCTCCCGTTGGCTTGTTTGATAAGTCAGACACGCGTGGAAGTCCTCCCCCGCGCGGTGGGGAAGGCCTCTTCTGAGCAGGGTGGACGTGTGCGGTGGGGGTTGCTTGGCAGCAGGTCACTGAGAAGCTTTTCGAGCTTCACGGCCGCTGTGTGCTTTCCTGGTTAAACACGTGGCATTTGTTTCTGCCACGCTGTTCCACTGCTAAGTATTTTTCTTTAAATTGACTTTCATGTGTAAATAAACATTTAAGAAGGAAATATGCCGTAAATAGAAGGTAACTGTGTTAATAAGTATAATTAAAAGCGAACAGTGTTAGTAGATTCTGGGTGATACGTAGCCTGCTCTTTCTTTGTTAAAAACGATGAAGCGATTGGCTCTGTTCAACTTAGTAGCTGAAACCAGGAGACCTTTCCGCTGGCCCAGCAAAGGTTGAAAAGAGCACGAGCGTCTCCCCGGGCCGGCTCCTTGACCCTCTCAGACCCTCAGTGTCATCATCTGTTCGGTGGTGGTGGCTGTGATGGCAACAAGGTTATTGTGAGGGTGAGACTGGGGCATGGTGCATGCAGCAAAGACCTGACACCAGGTCTATGCCCTTCACGACACTTGCCAGGCTGGCGTCGGTGGCCATCGGTGCCAGGTCTGAAATCACCTCCTGGAGCCCTGGTGGCACCCACTCTGGCCTGTGAGACGCAACCCGAACACCCGAGGAGGGCACAGCTGGCCGGGACAAACCTGGCTGTCTGTCTGCTTTCCTTGGCACGTCCCCCCGAGTCAGCAGAGGAGGGCCCCGACCGTGCAGCTTGTGCCGTGTGCCCGAGGAGCTCTGCTGAGAGCCGCTGCCCGGCACTTAGGACATGCGGTCAGCACGTGAGTGTCTGGCTGGCGGAGGGAAGGTGGGCCGGGGAACCCCAGGCCATCTGCCGGCCTCTCCCTCCCTGGTGAGCAGTGGTGAAGTGGCTCGTTCATCAGGCTTCGTGGATTAAGTGGGTGTATGTGCTGCCTGCTGCCTGCTGCCTGCAGGGCGCCCAGGAAACACTGTTCTGGGGTGGTGCTTGTTAGTGTTCTAGGCTCACCAACCCACGTGTGCGTGGCAGGTAATACCATTTAAATCTGTGTTTTGACATAATTTAAGACCCACAGAATGCAAAAAAGCACGGAGAATTCCCATGTCTCTGCAATGTTCTTACTTTCTTTTAACATCTCAGTAACTGGTGGTGGTGGTTCGGGTTTCTTGTTCGTTTCAGTGTACCCTCACTCCGCTGGTGAAGAATGGGGGAGACCGAAGGGACGTACAGGGCCCTGCAGACCCCAGGGACGCGCTTGGGTGCCCAGACCCCCGCGGGCGTCAGCACCCTCGAGCCCGGGCAGACCCCCACGTCGGCGGCGTCGGTGCGGACCCCGGCCAGGATGCACATCCGGGTGCAGCTGCTGGACGACACCGTGGAAGTGTTTGACGTCGAGGTGAGAGCATGCGTCCTGGAGGCATGACTCCTGACCTTTTCTGGAAGTCAAGTGTTATGTGCAAAATTCCATCTCGCTGGTTAGGTGGTGCCTGTTTACCAGGTCGACCAGGAGTGGCTTTAGTAACACAGCCAAGCCCTTGAGAACAGTGTGTCTGCATTTCTCCCTTCAGTGTGTTCTCCTGTCTTTCCATTCAAATTCTGATGTAAAATGGTCCTCATATTCTTCTGCTTCGAGAGGTCGGCTGCGGGCTGCAGAGCGTGGGCTGGAGCCAGGCTGTCGCCGCCCAGGACCTGCTCGCTGAGCCACCCTTCCTGGGCCAGGGCTGTGCCTTAGCCCCTCGTGTCCACGTCCTCATCTGAATGTGGGGGTGACTCCTGTCCCCTGCTTGGGATGGCTGGGTGAGAACTGAGCTCCCCTCGCGGAGAGCCTGGCACAAAGGAGATTTGCACAGTGCTAACAAAGAACTTGTTTTTCTAGGTCAGCAGTAATAAAATTTTTATTTTGAAGATTCCCCAATAATAGGTTGCTCTGATAAGGTTGGCGAAAGTAGCTGAATATAGCAAACATTAGAAAACACTTTCTCTGGTTTTCTAAATGGCATTCAAATGTTCTTTTTAAAAATTACTTACTTATTTTCACAAGTAATGCATAAATATATTTTTCTAATATTTTTATATTAGTTTAATGCATTTAGAAGCTTTTTCCTGCTCTTAAAGTCACAAAAGTAAAGACAAGAGAATGAACTTAAACTTGAGCAGGAGATTCATTTGTCCTTGGGGATGTCTGTGGAGAAGGCAGGATGCTACACAGAAAACAAGATGATTGAGCAGTGGGCCGGGCAGTGAGGAGCCTCAAAGGAAACTTCCTTGAGGTTCTGGCAGTTCCTGAAGGCGGAGTCGTTGCATGGGAGGGGGCGCAGAGGAGGGAGGGTGGGGAGCAAGAGGCTGCTGGGAGCTGGGGGAGTGGAGGTGCCCCCTTGCTTGGAGCCCAGGGTGCACTGTCCCCTCTTGCGTGAGTGTTTGATAGCACTACCCAGGGCCCGATTCTTAGTGTCTGAACTCAAGGAGCCCTGAGTGCTTCCTTTAAGGCCTTACTTGAGGAGGAGTTGAATGAGTGCTGCTTCATCAGGGCAGCAGTACTTGGAACTGGCAGGACCTGTCTGTCCAACTTCCCCCGTCACCCCTGTGTTGCAAGAGGCAGCCTTGGCAGGGAAGGTGGTGTGAGACAGGCCGCCTTTGAACTCTGGAGAGCCGGGGTGGCTGCCGGTGCTCCGACAGCGCTTCCTGTCTCACGCAGTGCTCTGACGAATCACCTGTAGGAAACGGGGCAAAGGTCTGGGGGTTCGTTGGGCTCCCAGGTCGCTTCCAGACAAATGTCAGGAAGAAAATCCACCATGTGATCATCCTGCAGTGAGCACATTTGCTATGATCTAGGCTTAAAACGGGCTCAAATTTTTTGAAAGAAAAAAAGCAAGAAGGAAGGAAGAAAAGGAAAGGATTGCATTATTTAGGGTTTATTTTCAGAGCATCCTTTTTTGTCCATCTTAATGGTTTTTATCAGCTAAACCTGGGACCCAAAAAGAAAAAAGCAGACATTTATTGTCAAGTTACAAATAAGATGTAGTCCTTCTCTGAGAAATTCACTTTCAAATCAGAGGTAGCATTTTGTAAAGGTTCAAAATACAAAGAGCCTGTCAAAGTTTTAATGAATGAGGTGGCTTCTGTTGTCCAGACGGCGCCATCGGGCTTGGTGCTATGGTGCGCCGGCAGAAGTTGGCGAATCAGGTTGCTGGTGTGCACCCTGAGTGGGGTAGGCCCTGTTGAAGTCGTGTTAGCCCGATGCGCACTTTTTGGAGGGAGTTAAAACTCAGTGTATTTTTTGATAAGTGGGTTGTATTCCACTTCTACGTACCCTGTCGTCCGCAACTGTGTCAGTTAGATTTGCTAAGTAACAAACTATCCAAAAACTTAGTAACTTAAAACAACAAATATTTAATATTTCTGCATGTCTGAGTGTTGACTGGGAGGTTCTCCCAGTCCGGGCTGGCTCAGAGGGCTGAGTGGTCTAGGGTGGCCTTGCACACGTCTGGGGCCCCGACCGGAGCCTCGCTCTCCAGGGAGCCAGCTTGGCCTTGTTCGCACGGTGGTGCAAGTGTCCTCAGAAGTGGGAGCTGCATGTCCCTCGCGGTCTCGGCTTGGGATTTATGCCCTGGGGCTCCCACCAGCCTTTACTGACCACGGCAGGCTGCCAGGCCTGTCCAGATTCAAGGGGTGGAGAAGTGGGGCCACTTGGGTGGGGGTGCCCCACGGCATCTGTGACCTGCAGGCTGTCCCAGCAGCTCTTGCTCCGAGTCAGGAACACAGTCTGTGGAAAGAAAGTGTCTCTGAAGCTCTGGTATCTGATGTCGGTAGGCTGGGCGGCTTTGCCAGATGACGACTTGGGGGGGCCATACCGAGCATGCAGAGCGCCCTCCCCAGAGCTTCCACCCCAGAGCCCTCGGAAGGGGCTGCCTGGGAAGGCAGGTGTGCCCTGTCCCTCTCCCCATGTCTCTGGGGCCACAGCGCACAGACCCCAGAGATGCACAGCTCAAGGCTGGTCGCTCCCTGGGCCTCCAGCACTGTCCACTGTCACTCGTCCAGGGGTCTTCTGTGCCTTGACCCCACCCCTGCCCTTTATGTTGGAACCGAGGGACTGCTGCGGTCAGGTGAGTTTGCTATTGCAGCTGTAGGTGGTGTGGGCTCAGTGCAGGGCAGTGAGGTCCCTGGCCGGGCGGGTCTGTTTGTGGCACACGCTTCCTGCCCCAGAGTCCTGCGGCCCCTCCTCCTGGGAAGCTGGATCTGGGAGGCCTGCCTCGGCGTTTGGATCGGGCCAGTAAGTGTGCGCTGAATGAACGCAGTCGAAGGTTAGGTTAGGCAACAGGCTTTCTTCGAGTGTTTCTGGTTTTCCCTGTAAAGCTGTGTTTTCTGACCTTCAGGATTCAAGTGTTTTCTTTCTTTCGGGTTCCAGGGCACCTACAGCTGTCTTACTGTGTACTTCTTTGGTTTATTTTTCTCAGGTTTTAAGCAGTAGTGTCTGTGAGCCGGCAGGGCTGACGTGCTGGTACGACCTGTCATGCACAGACGGTCCACAGCGCTGGCTTGCGCGGAGGGTGCAGGACCCCCTGTTTGACACTGAAGTTTTATTCTTAAGGGACCTTTTTAACTTAGGGAAGAATTTTGACATTTCGTCATTTTTGAAATGGTGTATTTTGCCTCAGTGAGAGTGCACGGTGGCCCTGCCTGCTGGTGCCTGTCTTTGCAGGTGGAGTCTGTGACTCAGCGATTCATGCTTGTCCCCAACACATTACACGCTCCCTCGCTGCGCCTTTTGCAAAGGGCGCGCTCTGTCTGCGGTCTCAGTTCTGTTCGGTCTCCCGCCCCGAGACTGTGCCCGTGAACTTGGTTTCCCACCAGTGCAGGCCCCACAGCAACCAAAGGTGCTCCGAGAGCCGGGACTGCGGGCAGGGCAGCCGGGCGGTGGCTGACGGGTTCCAGGGGCTGGTCCTCCGCTCTTCCTTCTAGACCCAGAAAACACGTGCTGCCCACAAGGCAAGCTGGTCTGAAGCTGGAAGCCAGGGTCTGCTTTGTAACAGTGTTGACAGGTAAAGTTGAGCTGAAACTCTTTAACAGCTTCACTGAGATATAATTCACAGAAGCGGACAGTTACGTACTTGAAGTGTACCGTTCGGTGGTTTTTAATACACTCGCAGATAAGCACAACCATCACCACAGTCAATTCCAGAATGTTTTCATCACCTCACAGAGAAACCCCCACCCTTTAGCTGGCACCTCCCGTCCCCGAGGCCTCCACGCCCCTCCTCTCAGCTCTGAGCACACAGTCACCTGCTCTCTGTCTCCACAGATGTCACTGCTGTGGGCGTGTCGTCTCAGTGGAATTGTTTGTGGTCTCCTGTGACTGGCTGCTTTGACTTGGCGTCATGCCTCACGCGTGCCGTGCGCTGCTTGCTCTTTATGGGCAGTAACGTCCCACTGCATGGCTCACCGTGTGTCCATTCACGAGCTGGCGGGCATTCCACGTTCTGGCTGCCGTGACATTCGTGCACACGATCTTGTGTGGGCATGTGCTTGCCTTTATCTTGGGCAGGTACTAGGGGCGGAGCTGCTGGGCTGTGCAGTAACTCCGTGTTGTTTAAGGGGCTGACAGACTGCTTTCCAAAGTGGCTGCACCGTCTTGCATCCCACCAGCTACTATGAGGGCTCCGATTTCTCCACATGCTCACCGACACGTATTATTACCTGACTTTTTGGTTCCAGCCATCCCAGGAGGTGTGACGTAGTATCTCATTGCGGCTTAAGAGGAAATTTTTAAAAATTTTAATGGCTAAAGAAGGTAAAAACTTTAATGGCTGTAAAAACATGAGAGTTGTACCATTAAAAATTGTCTTTGGGGGTGGTTCCTTGGATGGATTATGAGCTGAGCCTCTCGCTGAGCCGACCTGCCACACGTTGTGAGGAGTGAAGTTTCCACGCCCTGAGTTGTGAGGACCACAGAGACAGTACAGCCGAGGGCCCTGGGGAGCCTGGGGAGGAGGCTGGCAAGAGGCAGAAGCTCCTTGTAAAAGTCTGACATTTTAAAGTTTCGCGTGGCATTGTCTTGTGCATTTATAGGGACTTTTATCCACACCATGTGCTAAAGTCAACATTTACCTCATTTGTAAGTAATCACCGGAATCTATGATTACCTCGTCCACACAAATCATTTGCTGCAACAAACGTACGCTTGTTCGGGTTACGTACGGCAGCGCCGTAGGATGCACGTGGTGGACCTTCGTTTTGATTACCAGTTGCAGGAAAATACTTCTTCTGTGAGGAGGGCGTTTGCAGCAGTGGCCCTGAGAAGGGAGGGAGGGCCGGCGGGAGCAGGGCGAGGCTGTGGGGTCGGCTTCAGCTGTGTCCTATTTTAAGTGATGTTCGACATTTTTTGACAGGGTTCTTAGC